GTGGAGGTGTGGCAGCATGTCCCAGGAGGTGGAGTTTTCTCACCCTCTGGCCTGGTTAGAGGCCTCCAGCTTGGTTCTCTGCACCAAGTACTGCTTAAACAGAGCTCTGAACCAGATGCTTGAGAAGATGCAAAAGAATGAGTAGGTCCTGCTTTCAAGGAGCTTAGTTATGGGGCTTCATCTGTGAGATTACCCCAGGTGGTATACTGCCTGGTATCAGTGGTCATGTCCAAATTGGAGGTCAGGTTCGAAGCTGTCCATGGATGCAGTAGATTCCAGGACTTGCTTGGTTTGGCCCTGATCATTTTGTTTTTTTGTTTTGTTTTCTATTTTGATATAATTAATGTATAATTACAATTACTTGAACAACATTATGGTTACTAGACTCCGCCTATTATCAAGTCCCCCCCACATACCCTATTACAGTCACTGTCCATCAGCATAGTAAGATGCTATAGAATGGCCCTGATCATTTTTTGCCACGCTTCCTGTGATAGCTCTTAATGGAGTTCATTACTGTGCCTCTTTGAGATGGTTTTTAAGCAAGGGCACATCTTAAAATCTGATGCTGTGGAGTCAATAAAAAAATAGTAGCTACTTCCTTGGTTTTTGTCATAGAGCCTTCTGGTGAAAAGTTCTGGGGATGGTCTGACTTGGAAGGTGGTCTCTGCACCAGAAAGAAGAGGTCAAGGCTTGGTTTTTTGTGTAAGTTAATGAACTGACTTACAGATAAGAAAATAAAATGATTGAAAGAGGAATATATGTATAAAAACACTTAACCTGGCCTTTTAAATTGAGACGTTATTTTTTTTAGAACAGTTTGAGGTTTAGAGAAAACTGTAGCAAATAGAAGCCCCACATTAGCTCCTCCCTCCTCCTCATTTCCCCTGTTATTACCTGACATGAGGGTGATACATTTCTTAGTGTCCCAACATTGATATATCAACTAAAGTAAATACTTTGTCAGATTTCCTTAGTTTTCTCTACTCTCCTGTTCCAGAATCTCATCCATTGTAGCACAACTGAATTTAGTTGTCATGTCTCATTAGGCTCCTCTGTGCGACAGTCTCTCAGACATTTTTTGCTGTTGATGACCCTGACAGTTTTGAAGAGTGCTGATTGGATATTTTGTGGGATGACCCTCCATGGGAATTTATCTGTTGCGAGATATCCTTTTAAGTATCTATTGTTGTGTGTGTTCTGTTTGATGATATTTAGGTGCCTAGAAATATTTGCATCACAAAATTGTGCTTAGTATTTCGTTAGGGATTACAGGGTGGCATCTGCACTGTTCTGGGAGAAAGGAAGGGATGTGACTCCAGGCCATCGTTCTAGCAGTTGGGGTGCACTCCTTATCTACCCACTTCAGGTGTTGCTTCAGTAGCATTTCTGGGATTAGGTTTGGGCAGAAGAGACATAGGCTAGAGCCTTAGGGAGCAGGAGCAGCAACTGGATGTTATTTATGATTTTAGATACTAGAAAGGGTGTTTGTTGTCCCATTCCCTGTGGCCTCCATCAAGGGCATTCCCTGGTAGTGCCTGTAGAAGCTCCGTTTGGGCTGATGGTCCTTTTATTTCTGTCTGGCACCAATAATTGAGGCAGCTTTGGGAGTCTTGTGTCTAGGGAGCTAGCTATTCTGAGGGTCTCTGTGGCTCAGGAGGCTATAGTGGGTTCTTTATATGTGCAGCATAGTTTTAAGCTGAACAGCATAGCCTTCTGCCACCCCGTGAGCCTTGCGGATGAATTCTTCAGATAGGGGGCATGGTGAGAGGCCAGAACTGGGCACCGGCGTCCCTTGTCTCTCACAGCACTCTGTGGTTCTCTTGACTTGGGGCAGCAATTAGTTTACCCTCATCAGTCCACCACTCATTTTCTATTTATAATTGTCTTCGAGAAATTGGGAGGGAAGTGGGTTTAGGGGCTGTATTTTGAGTCCAGCTAGTGACTTTCTGTGTAGACCCCTGTTTCTGTGCCTTAGGTCACCTTCTGGAGCGTGTGGTTGGGTACGGTTAGGTAGGGGTGGAGTGAGGAAGGTTCCGTAGCCAGCAGAGAAAGTGAGCGATGTGTGCACACAGAATCCTCCTGAGCAGCACCATGAGAAGTGTCAGTGTAGAAATGTGGACTGAAAGGATGCCAACAAGCAGGCTTCAGGTAGTAACCCATCCTGCAGTTCACTTAATGCACAGTATGTGACTGCAACCACTGTTTGATTGCTGCTTCTGTTTTTCTGCCCAGGAGCTGCTTGTTCTCTGGACAGTCATAACACAGTGACAGAAATAAAAAGTCATAAGCCCCACTTTTGTACACATATGGACAGACACATGCACTCAGCCCGCACCCCTCGCCAAAAAGCCCACCAGCGCTTAGCTGGCAGTGTCAGAGTGTGCAGTTCCTGAAGGAGATTTCTCACCAGGGAGATGCCGAGCAGAGTCAGCTGCTAAGGCCTGAAATTTACAGCTCCAAGGAGTCAATACTCTCTCTGGCTTTACTCCTCTCTGAGCATTACTAGGAAGTGGAGGATTCTATCTATTTCCCATGTCTTAACCATAGGAATATCCCTGGGTGTTTTTGCAATTTACAATTTAAGAAGAGTTAGTCTTGGAAAGAGAGGAATGTGTAGTTCTGTCCACCATTGAGATTTAGGAAATACTGTGATGTGTGGGTATTTGAGAGGTCTGACAACAGCTCTGTTATCCTTTGGGCAGTGGTCCTGCTCTTTTAAGGGAAGAGCAATATTGATTTGCTCTATTCACTGTTTTGACTTGTATGGCCTTGTGGAATTTGTCTTTTCTTTGGTTTGAAGGTGAGAGAGTAGAATAGCATGTATCATGGATACCTTGTCCCCTGAATGTTCCATTGTCCATTTTCTAATATTTTTCCTTTCACCCAAAAGTAGGATTTTGAAGGATATGGAAATCATTAACTGGGGGTCTTTCTCTTTTGGTCAGTTGTCCAAGCCAGTGTCTTTAGGGAGTGGGAAGGAAATTCTATGATGGTGGGTATTTTTACTTGGCGTCAATGTGTTTGGATGGTAAGGGGAACAAAATGTACTCTCTTTCAGTTACTAAGTCTGTATTTTTGGTTCTACCTTCTGAACCAAGTTTTATTCTTGTAGACATGGTTGGACTGGGGTAAGGGGCTCTATGATTTGGGGGTTATTACACACTTTGGTACCACCCATACCTAGGAAACCTGCCCTGACCTTAACTTGGTCCTCCTGTGATCACAGATCATGCTCTTGGTCACTCTTAGGCTAATAAGTTTTTCTGACCCAGGTGAGTTGTGGGTTCTGACTGTCCGGCATTTAATGTTTAGCCTTTAGAGTTTTAGATCTGTCAAAAACTTTATAGCAGGACGGCTGTAGTTATTTGAGACTGGCTTTTTGCTGTGTTCAGGGTTATAAGTTAATCTTCTATACAGTGAAAAATGAAGAAGAATTACCCCCTCTCTTAGTCTGCACCGTTCTTTCTCAGGCCTTTCATTACTTCCTGGCCACTGGCTTGTTTTTCTCTGCATTGCTTCCATTCCTAAACAGAGGTAAAACCCAGGGATATCTTCCCATCTGCCAGCCACAGTGGGCCTTCTGTGTACTTACAGCCTGATTCTAACTGTCATCTTTCTTTTTTCATTAATTCTGTTTGATGGTACTAACCTCCTGCTATTTCCTGTCATGTATAATTTCTCACTTGGTTTTGCTTTTGGCTTTTCTGATTATCTCTTCAATCATTCTTTACTCTTTTTGGTGTGAGGTGTCTGGTTCTTTGGAAAAGGCAGAGAATAGCCTTTGGGGGAGGAGCGTGTTTTAAGATATGAAGCTTTCCAGAGAATGGTTAATGACGGCTCTGTTAGGTACTTACCAGTGTGGTATCCACCACAGCAAAGGAGAGTCTAGCTCCTTTTGTTTCAGGCATAAAAGAGCGGGGAAATTTTGCAAGTCTGCCTTCACTGTGGCAGCTGCCCTGTAGTTTGGTTGCCTGTTGGCTACTGATGAAGCCTGATTGAAACCTAGAAGAGTTGGTTTTGATTCTGCAGATAAAGTGGATGGTGACCATGTTTTGTAGTCAAGAGATACCTCCTTGCAGCAAAGTGTTGCTTGCAAAAAAAAAAGAGAGAGAGAAGAAAAACCCTAACAGCCTTGTAACAACATGCTCTGAATGTAATTGGGTGAATTGTAGACTTCTAGCTGAATTATGGGTTCTACTTAAAACCCTGATGTGGTCCTAGCCTGCATCAATGGAATTTTATTCTGAGTGTACTGGTCGAGTGTTCTAAAAACCTCTACAGAGGCATATCTGTGCTTTTGTCCTTGTAAGTTACCCCAGACTAGAAGTTAATCTTTTCAGCTGAGAGTAGAGTCCATGTTAACTGACTGGGGTCCAAAACAAAGATGCCCACAGTAGTGCTCAGAACAGTGGCTTTCAGAAGTAGCTGAAGTAAGATTTTAGCTATTTAATGTTTCTGCCTTTGAAATTAAAGCTGAGCATCTCCTTTCCTAAGCTGAGATGATCATTCTTTTTCCCCTTCACTTGCCTTTGATTTTTCTGTCCTCTATTGGACCATCCTATTTTAGTTCTTTCTCATCTAGGGGGTGGTACCATCTTCTAATCCAGCCCTTGCCTCTTTTCCTGGATTCATATTGAGATAGTGATTTCAGTCTTAGGTCAGAACCTGTTTCAAGGAAAATCCAACACATAGAGACTGGATTTCTAGTTTGTAAGCGTTGTTGTTAACCACATGTCTTGGTCAGGGCAAAAGATAAAAAAGATTGACCATCTTTAGGAGTGACACAGATTCCGCCTCATTGAGAAATAAGGTCTTTTGGTACTGATAATTACAGCATAGTTTTCTTTAACATTATTGCACCATGAAGGATGATACTCCAAATGGCTATTAATCTCACTTTTCCCCTGTGACTGTTGGTGGCCCTAGCTCCTTAGCATGTGTGCTACAAGATCTGGACCATCGAAGTAGTTAAAAGCATTTTTTCCTCTTGCCCACAGGTGATGCAGGTGTTGAATGCTGATGCCATTGTTGTGAAGCTGAACTCTGGCGACTACAAGACTATCCACCTGTCTAGCATCCGACCACCAAGGCTGGAGGGGGAGAACACACAGGTGAGAATAAGGAAGCAGTGGACACTCTTTCCAAAGACCAAAGGGAAAGAGTTAAAGAAGGAGTTACAGAATAGGGAACATATATGTGATAATACTGCAGGAGAAGTATTTTAAATCTCCAAAGTATTATTTCCTATTAATTGCAGCCTAGCTCCATCGGGCAGGCCTCAGTTTCTCCTGAACCACACTCACTGGTTTATTTCCTGTTGGATATGCACCGAGACATTCCTCCCTACAGGCCTTTGAGGAGTTAGGCTTGGGGTATGTGAGACCATGGATGAGTTTTATTTATTAACAAGATGTTACTTCTCTGAGAAGAAGGAGAGAACAAGGTCTGTATCTCACAAGCATGGTAGTAAGGCCTGTTTCTGGGGCTCATTTTTGATGTGATACTTCATATGCTTTTGCTCTAGGAAGAAGTGAACCTTGGTATGTATATCCTCTCGGGTCACCTCATCTTTTGTAGGTGATAACTATAATTATTAGTTACACTGGTTCATGCTATTTGTTAGATCTTTTGGCAGCATAGATCTTCTAACCAAGTGTACGATTTGGGTATATCAGTTTTCTCCAAAGTCATGAAAACTTGCAAGAGTTGGCAGTCTGTAGGTAGTTCTGTTTAAAATTTTGTGATCATTTTCTTTTCCTTGTTGTTACTTATGAATGACCAAAGTAGTCCACATTATTTTTGAACATTTTGTTTGTTTGGTTATGTGTTGTTTTTATAACATCTTTCCCACTCTTATTTTTGCCCTCAGATAAGTATCTGCTAGACTGTTACATGTATGTGTGTAACAGTGGTGACTAGTTACAGAAATGGGTCTTTGGGGAGAGCCAGTGCCACAGGCAGTGTTTGAACAGTTTTCAGAAATTAAACAGAGTGGTTGAAGCTAGTTCTGTGTGCTTTAATTTATCCTTCTGTAGTTCTGAAGATGTGAAATTTGCTTTCCTTATGTTTTGCACATACACATGTCTTGGTGCATTCACTAGTTGAAATTCATGCCCTGTTTTCATTTGTGTGAAAGTTTGCAGACAGCCCATAAAAGTAAAATAAAAATACCATAATTGTCTTTTGAATCATATCATGCAGAAGAAGCACACAGGATGGGTTCCTTGAATGTATGGCCAGTCAGTTCATTGTCTTCCTTGTTTCTCCTTAAAGATGAGGCAATTTAATGCAGCAACAGTGTTTGGTAATGTTGAGAATTTAAATGCATGAAGCCTAGAAATGCCAAAACAAGATTCTCTCAGTAACTGTAGCTCTGCCTCATTGCACAGAGTAAATATACATCTCCAATTTTATCAGTATTGGGAGTAGTCCACAATTCACATCTGTGCCATGCAGTTGAAATTAAGGTTCCCACAGCAACCACAACTTTGAAATTCTTGAACGTTAATTTTTGTGCCTGCATCATCAGCCAAAGCATTATGTTAATGTAGACTGTGTAGCTGAATTTCAAACAGTTGTTAAGGGATTGGAGGTGTTACAGCTTAGGTAGGGCGATGGCAAGTTTTCAGGAATAAGAACTATACTATTACTGAGGATTTGTAGTTTTCCCAGGATCCCCTGGAATTCCTCAGGGTAATGGATGGAATCTTCCCCTAGCATAGTGGATTATGGGATGTTGTTGGAATATATTTCCTAATTGAAGCAGGATACTGTTTATTGAATTCCTTGTTCTTTACCAAGTTAGGTTATCTCTTATTTACTCACCTTTTTTTCTTTAAAACTTTCATTCACTCCTGAGATCTCACTCCATTTAAAGGAAGTTCTAAGAAAGGCTCAGCTCTCAGTATAGCACATAAGGCTTTTGGGTGAAATGGGGAATGATTTCCCTTTTTTGTTCATTAAATTGCTATGGAGGATTTTAATGAGGGTCACATTAAACAGAATGTAATGCAACTTGAGTACATGGTTGGAGGATGCAGTGAAGAACTCAGTTGTGGTGGGCACTCAGGCAAGTCTTCCCAAGAGCAGCTACTTAGTATACCTCTTGAGTGCTCACAGAGGAGCTGAAGTGATCAGATGGGGGTCGAGGGCAGTCTAGACCAACACTGTCCAAGAGAGAATGCAAGCCACTAATGTGAGCTATATTTCTTATTAAAATTGCCTAGTTAGCTGTATTAAAAAATCTAATAGATTTTATTTTATCTAATATATCTAAAGCAGTATCATTTCAACATTTAATGAATATAATAAACTAGATATTTTACTTAAAATTTTTATTTTTACTAAGCCTTTGAATCTGGTATGTATTTAACACTTAGAACACATCTCAGTTTGTTCTAGCATATTTCTAGGGCTCAAGAACCTCATGTAGTGGCTTCTGTAATGGACAGCATAGGTTTAGATATTAAAATGGGTTCATCATGGAGAAATGTTTACTGGTGTCCACTTTGCACCAGATACTGTGCTGGAATAAACCCTCATGGACCCACCCTTATGGAACTTGAATTCTAATAAGGGGAAGTACACGAGTAATTTCATTTATGTGAAGTGCTATGAAAGAAAAGTTTGGAGTTTATAAGAATGCATAGTCCTGCAAGGATTCTTTGAAGAAGTGAGATTTAAGGCCTGAAGGCCAATTAGGAATTAGCTAGGTAAAAAATTAGGTAAAGAAAATTTCTGGCTGAGTTGGCCAGAATAATTGGCATAGTTTGGAAATAGGGAATGGATCACCACTGGGGTACATGAGTGGTACAAAATATATGCACAGCCAGATCATGCATATTCTGTGAACGTCTCAGGATACTCATGGAGAGAGCACATGGGACGTATGATGAATGGCAAGTGATTTTGTGTGACTGGCTCGTTTAGAACAGGGCTGATTGGAATCCGCAGTGAGAATGCTGGGTGGTGTTTTGGGAATTGGGGAATAGTTGTGTAGTTGCAGGGGATTGAGGATTATTTGGAGATGGTGGATGGACTGTGGAGGGCCTTAAATGAAATTCAGGATATTGCCTTCTGTCTGATTTTGGGGCACTTTCTGGAGGTCATTGGCTTTGAAATGAAGAAAATGATAACTTGACACCTTATGATATTGGAGCTCTTCAAGAACAGAGTAGGAGAAGGTACAGATTAAGTACTTGGAGGAATGGGTAAAGAGGGAGAAGGAAAGTCTTTGCATGTGCTCTGCAAGGGTGGGCAGCTGGTGTTCAGTGACTCCTGCTGTGTGCTGGGCCTCTCTGCAAGCTCCCAGATGATAACCCAATGGGACCTGCCCTTCCTGTAAGAAAGGGGCTAGTCTGTTCGGTTTAGCCTCTCCAAACCCTGAAAACTCTTAATAACCTGTGGTCAACTTGTATAAATCTTCTGAGATATCTATATATTGTAGGGATAGTAGGAAAATCAGATTTTCCTTTTTTGAACATGGACAAGTTCATTTTTCTTAACTTATACATGAAGGCAAGGAGATTTCCCCCAAGGCTAGCTGTACCCCCTTTTGGATACTTTGTAATTGCAGCCAGTGGAAGGGTTCTGGACAAAACAGCATGATCAAAGGAACTCTTTGCACCCTAGGCAGCTGCTTTTTAGTATAATCCCATGGGAGTCAGTACTCCCACATTTTGGTTAGAACTTAACTTGTTGCTAGAAATGTGACAGAGTTTAAAAGCAAGGGTGTGTAATATTTCCCTTGGATGCCTTATGCTCTTGATTCTTTTTCTGTGGTACCATGCTCTGTACTGTTCAGGGTAAATCCAGTGTTAGCTCTTTGGAGATGTTTCTTCAGACTGATAGCCATTTTGGACATGATGTGTAGTTATCCTGTGGACCTAAACGTGAATCAGGGTTTCTCTAAAGGTACAAATTGTTTTATCCAGTTGTTTGTCAGAAAGAAAGACATGCTAAGTCTAGGAGAAAGGCTGTGGGTTTTCTGAGCTGCTGCCTTAAAGGAGGTAATACATTGTGCTATCTCAGGACTTCCTAGAGAGTATTTGGCTTTGATCTGAAACTGGTGCTCTATTACCCAGGGCTGCTGTGGGCTTTGTGTCACACTTGGAGTGTTAATGACAAAGGAAATACAGCCCCTGGGTATCCAGTGAAGGGGCTGACTTATTCCCCCATGAAGTCCACACTTGCTGTGCTATTGTAGTGGGCAGAGAGATACAGCGCTGAAATATACCTTGAAAACGACACATAATTTACCCAACCCCCAGGTATTAAGTGTAGAATGTTTGGAAACCCGAAGGTGGAGCCTTTCCCCTCATCTCGAAGTCCTGTTTCCCATAACCTGGCTCAGCCTCCTCCTGGTGAATTTATTTACCACATAAATATTCTTTCACAGCAGCACCTCTAGATCTTCAGATCTGGACACCAAAGGGTCGCTTTTGTTAACCCTGCAGTCTGCCTAATCTCCCAGTGTCCTTGCTGCCTGTGGGGGGTTTGTTTCCCCTACTAGGTGTCCTTGGTAGGCAGTTGATGGTGGACACACGTAGGTGTGTTTTTGGTGATGCCTGGGGACTCTTCAGGACATTCTCTCTGTGGCAGGGCAGTTTTCCAGTGCTAATAACTCCATTCATTGTGCAGGGCCCCAGGGTGCTTTGCCATTTAGACACGATTAAAAGTGGTTCTCAGCCGATTCCCTCCAGTTTAGATTTCTGAAAGCAAGATGACTGGTCCCTCTGGACAGTGAAGCAGATGCTGCTGCCACTGAGATGCACACCACCAGGAAGCTGGAGGGCTGCAGTCGCTAAGCAAAGCAGAGGCAAACCCATAAACCCACTGACTGTGATCTCGTGCTTGTGACTGGGAGCATAAAGCAAATAGCAAATTAGATAGGGACTCCAGCTTGGCATTAACACCTTGGAGAAAAGCAAAAGCTCTTTGAAATGGATATAGCATTTCACTGGATTCCAGTGGAGAGATCTGGGGACTGCAGCAATGCGATCAAAAGACATAGAACATGTCAGCGCTGGCAGAGGCATTCTGTACCAGTTGCAGATTTGTTTGATATGGGCATTTTTGAGAACACTTGAAACCTTCTTTGTTAAAGGACTCA